TAGGGTTGGGGTTGGGGGGGGCAGCAATCAAGAATAGACTGGAATTCTGGCTTTATCTGAAAAGAATGAGAAGCTATCCAAGGATTGTAAGCCGAGTGAGACGGAACTGAATTGTGCTTGGAAAAGTGACTCTGGCTGCCACTCAGACACTGGACTGGAGCAAGTTCAAAGTGGCGATGGATTCGTGACTGGTGAGGGATTTCACAACAGTAGCTGCCTAGGAGGCTGTTGTAAAAATTGATGAGCGAAACAAAGCGCTTAGACCTGAGCTTGGCACACAGCTATGACTACAATGTACCAAGCACTGGCTAACTGCTGGGAATATACGTAAGTAATGGTCCCTGCCCACGCCCACGGAGCTTCCATGCTAGTCAGTGAGACAAGCAAATGAATTAAGCGGAGCAGGACATGCTTTGAAAACATCTCCAGCATATGAGAACATCTCCATTGCTTTTGGTTGGTGACACTTGATTTCTTAGTGTTTGCTTGTGTCCAACATGAAATAAAATAATTTTTTCTAAAACATACCTTTAGAAGTTTATAGCACTCCCACCTGTATATTTAGATCGAAAGCAAAAGCAGTGACTTAGCTACACTCATTTTAATTCTAAATGTATTTCTCCCACACAGAATTGTATTGGAACCAACAGCCACATGAAGCTGTTGATTTTCAATAAAATGTCCAAATAGGACATGTTACACCCATTAGCATATATGCATTTGCCCTTAGCCGCCTAAACCATAAAAGTCTATTGGAAGGTTAGTGAAATGACATCATAAGCATATTTAGCTTAAGGGGATTCAAGTAAGTTCAGCAAAAAAGGACAACACTGTAATAGGTCAATCAGTGGTTGAAGGGCAAGGAGAAAAATAATGCAGGGCAGGGGCTAGAGAGTGATGGGGACGGGATGGTGAGGGATATTTGTGCAGAGGTGCTGCTGGCATGAAGGGGTGTAGCAGCCAACTGTGAGGGTACCGGGTGAAGGGCATTCCTGGCAGAGGAAAGTGCATGCCAGGCCCTGAGTTCAAGTGCTGAGCATGTGCCAGATGCTGGAAATTTAGAGGGTGAAATAGAAAGGGAGAGAAAAAGAGAGAGGGA